TTGTGACTTCAAAGCATAATAAACAGACACTTCACTCTCCCATTACGAGATCATTAAACTTTTATTATTGTGACGTAAATTACATAAATTATATGATGTATTAATAATAATTAATTTATGATGTATTAATAATCTTTGCATCACATGCAATTTTTATAAACTTTAATTCCATTAATAACAAATTTTTAATTAAATGCGAATGGATATTGTGTTTATTTTCTTCGTTGAAACTTATTAATTAAATGTACAGCAAAATCATGCCCATTTCTATATAATATCTACAGAAATTTAACTCAGTTTTCTTCACTCATCTAAAAATTAATTACAATGCAGTTTAAGGTATTACAGTATTACATTATTAATACATTATAACCATTTTCATGCATATACGTAAATCTCAAAACAATGCAGAATTTCCTGCAAAACAATCATTTATACAACATAAGTAAATTCAATTTTATAACATCAGTCTATCATTTACAAAATAATTTCACACAGTATACACTTTTACAAAGTAATATGTCATTTCATGATTTCAACAAAACAGATTTCAAAAACCAAGGTCATTTAATAAATTATACAAAATATATACATTTCAGACTTTACAGCCTTTTTTCAGATACAGATAATTTAAACCAAGTAATTGCAGTCCCTGAAGTAGATCTAATTATATATCTAATCAAAATAATGAGTCATTTGTGGTTTTATAGAAAACTTATAGGAAAACATGGGCTTGAGATATAAAGTATAATTTTAAAAATCTGAACAAATTTTTGGCATCAGAAGTATCATCAGTGTAGTTTTTCCAAATCTTGGGGCTGTTACTCCATATCATTATCATATTATATTAAGCTATCATATCATTTACCATCCATATGATTATGCAAATGTGGCCAGTGCAGGAGACATAAGATCTTTAATTTATTTTATACATGGTTTTTAGCAAATAGCCAATGTCTAAAATGCTATCATTCAATGTGGCCTAACAGCACACTGGAAAAGAAACACGTTAATAAGCAATTTAAAATCAGACAAAAGAGCAACCTTAGATTGGCTTTAGATTTTGAATAAAATTTTATCAATTTCAATGTTTTGACATATTATGATGTTAAATTATTGAGAAGAACTGGATTGGAATTAATGCCATTACTAAAGAAAGAGAATTTTCATGAATGTAAAAGGAAATGGAAATCCAGTTCATCAGCTTTTTTCAGCTTAGCGCATAAATTTTGCAAAACTAAAGTTAACATTGTGGTTAAAGGGCCAGCTATGATTCGTTACTGAAGATTTAATTCTTTCTATTTTTTTAACACAGAATTTGCATTCTTTGAAGATAATTTTAATTATTCTTTCAGTATATATCAGTCAAATAAGTAAACTGCATAAAGTTATTTTCCTCAAGTACAATTTTTACATTTATATTTCTCCTATCACTTGATGTTTAATAATTACCGACACATTTTACTTGAAATGAACTAATTCAAAAGTAATTTTAATTATTGTTATTATATGTAATATACAAAATTCCCTAAAAATTCAAAGGCAGTCATATATGACTACTCACTAACTCCAACTTCATTAAAGATAATTTCAAAATAATGAAAACACATACTTATTCATATAATTTCGTTTAGTTTTTTCATAACCGTATAACCAGGATATCTTAAAGATAATTTTGTGATCTTTATTTAATAGAAACAAAATATCAGATTATTTGTATTAATCATTTTCCAAACATTTTTCATTTTTATTAAGAAAAATTATTATATATATGGCTACTAAGAAGATTATTTGCAAAAGCATCACTGCTTTATTTTTCTGACATTTTACACATTATTATCTCTAAATGTGTACTTTCTCCATTAAATACAGACTTGTTATTCAGATATACCTCAGAATATTGTGGATTTTTAAACCACTACAATCCAAGAGTTTTTTTTTTTTTTTTAATCAAAAAAAAGTTTAATAACTTTAACTGTGCAATAGCATTTTGATCTAAAGAAACAACACATAATTTAAATATTTTCTAAAACTTTAATTTTCATCTGCTAGTCATAATATGCTTTTATTCTCTGATCTCACATTTTGCCTCAGTGATGAAGAATGCTGAAAATTATAAAAGCCTTGAGATTTCTTTTAATATAATAGAAAAGAAATTAGCAACACCAATTTACTCTTATTTTCACAAAGAATTTTTCCACATATGAAGCTGTTCAGCATCAGAGTATAAATAAAATACTTCTGTTCAGAATCATTTTAACAAGTAGATCTTATTTTGAATATAAATTTCTTTCGGTTCATAACTTGGTTTACCATTACGTCTAAGAGGACCTATTTAATATATATGGGCTAAATGATCTATGTGTCTTTCTACCTAGGATAAGAGACCAGCACCTCTTCCTTTTATATAAAATACTTAGAGCCATTTTATAGTTATTACTTATGATACTTTCAATTAAAAATGAAAGGAAACTACAAAATGGCACAAAAGTTAATACATTAAAGCATACATAAATACAGTATATTCTGACAAAAGGAGAAATCCTAGTTATGAAATTAATTTTTAATTACGCATATGCATGCATGACCTTAAGAAAACCTGCATGCATACCTAAGAAACCTAAAGAAGACAATAAGTATTATTAAATTTTAGCATATACAATTTGTAACAAATTTATGATTTGTACAAATTTATGATAAATGATAGGACAAAAGTTTCCTTGTTGGAAAAAAAAAAAAAAAAAAAAAAAAAAAACTAATAAAACATGTCCATATTCAGTATAATTTAAAAAAAGAAATATTATGGCTAATCAATAATTCCTACAGCATAGCTCTCAGTCTTGAAATGGCCCACCAGCGACTGAGCGGTAAAGTCGCTGAACACTGGTAGTTCAGTCCGAGGTTCGAATTCCGCGAACGGGCTGGCTGCATGGGTGTTTTCGTGGTTTTCCCCATGTGTAATGTGTATACGAGCCAGTTTACCCTAGAAAGTGCTCCACGAAGGCATCCCTCTCCTTAGGCAGACAGCCCTCAAGGCTTTGCCATAATTAAATAACCTAACCTCAGTCTTGAAATGTAAAAAACAGAAAGTTTTTCAGAGTTTTTTAAATTTTGCAGCAATACGATCTGAAAAGAACTCCATATTGATTTAATTCACTTTATGGTTCAAGTTAATGAACTATTTATAATATGAATCTGATGCAAAATATATTAATATCCAATTAGATAATATGAATTTCATTTTCTTTGGCCAAGTTAATTTTGTAAATGTTTTATATTTTTATTGATAAAATGCTGAACAGGAATAGAAAGCTTTCATTTATAAAAGTACTTTCAAATAAAAAAAATGGATGTGAACACCACGACTTCCTTGTACGGCCTACTAAATTATACACATTTTCCGCACTGCATTTCCTCATATTATTCTAACGTAATTAACTAAGCCCTCAAGGCAAAATGAAAATGACATCAGAAACTGCAAATTTTTAAAATTAAATGTACTACAAAATTTCAAAGTTAAACTTACAATTTTAACAAGTATAAAACTTTCCAAAAGTATAACTATATTAACCTGGAGATCACATTAAAAGTTAGATTTCATTATTTGTGGATAATGAATATTTTTTTTTTAAATTGACACTGCCAAAATATGAATATTTTTGTCGTTTAAAACACTTCTGTAATGTCTATGACCAATGACTGGGAAAGTAGATACTGGGTACTTTTAAGCCAAGTAAGGGGTAGGTATACATTTGGTACTGCTGATTGCAAAAAAAAAAAAAAAAAAAAAAAGAAAGGTGCATGACTAGATGTTATAGCAGTCTCGTATACAAAATTTCATCATTCTACAGCTAATTGTAGAGTTATGTCAGACACATACATACATACATATGTAGATATATAAGCATATATACAGACATCATGAAAAAATTCTTTTTGTATCTACTTTACAATCCATTTTGGAAAAAAATGTGCATTATTTTTTAAATATGTACAGAAGTCATGAAAAAAAAATTGTAGAAATGGATTTGGAAACAGTCAAAATGCACATTTCTATTGAAATATGATACTCAAAATTTTCCCGATTACAGTATTTTATATTTGTACAAGGAAATAATAAAAACAAAATTAGTAATGCACATAAATTAATAATTGATATACATAAATAAACTTAGTCATATACCATAAGTTGCTGTAGGATAAAATCGTACAAAAATATTTACTAATTAATCATTAATAGAATTTTTATAAAATTTCAAGAAATGTTTACATTATTTACCAAACTGTCTTAAAATCTGAAGCAGATCAGGACAATTCAAATCAAATAAAATTTGATATGAAAAATTATGAATAAAATCACCAAGATAGGAGAATGATATTTGCATGAAGTTTGAATTTCATTCATTGCCTTCCTTAATAAAGGCTAAAATTCAAACACTGGGAGATTATGAGTTTAGAGTAGACTGAAGGGTACCTCTTGTATTATCGCAAAGTTGTTGTTTCATTTATGGTAACCTGAGTAGTTGAATGTTCCATAAATATACTTTTATCAAGAATTGGGTGCTCCTTTGACTTTTTAAGTGAAAATATATCGATGTGTACATGGACAAAGGGAGTGCGCAATGCCAAGTTTGTGCAATTCTCTGGTGATTTTTTTAAGTCAAAGTATGTTGACATGTACATGGATAAAGTCAAGGGAATGCGTAATGCCTAGTTTGTGCAATTCTGTGATTTTTTTTTTTTTTTTTTTTTTTTTTCCCAAGTGAAAATAGGATTCTGTGTTCTTTTTAAGATAGATAGGAGTATGTGATTTTTTTTAAGTGAAAATCGCCGTTATGTAACGCCAAAATAAAAAATCAAATAATTGCACAAACTTGGTATCCATGTACTGCCAAAAATTGCCAAGGGGTACCCCTAAATATATTTTTACTGATTGTGATCTACTAAGAGAACCAAAGACATGATGAAAACTGAGAAAGTTGACAGATACAGTACAGAAAAGAAGGAATAATAGGCCTATGTTCAATAAGCAACTGCTTTATAGGCTACAGAGTATCGTTTTTTCATTCAGAATATTACAGGTTATTTTACATTATGCATATTGAATAAGTTTATTACCTTTTAAATACCACATTATTAATTTGAATAAGTAATCTGGATAATTTTCAGATTGGTGATATCTGGACATTAATGATGACAAATTTCTTTTTTACTAAAATAAACTACCATTATTTCATTGATTATTATCACCTTTACAATTGTTGCCGAGTAAATATTCCACCAAAAGTTTGACCCTTTGATCTCCAACTGAGAAGGAAGCAAATTTTTATTAGATTAATAAAACTAAACAGTACTTACATATTAACACAACCACCTTAGTTCAGTTTGGCAAATTTTATGAAGAGAAAAAATTAGTTTCTGCTATAAAAAAATATATATATACATATTTTATGTTTTAGCCATGTATTTACTAAAAAAAATAAACTTTTTATAAGCAGGCTTTTGTTTATTTTGTGCTGGTGAAAATTTGATGACAGTGATTTAGAGAAGATTCAATGCATTGGTCCTACAGTGATTTTGCAGCAAAATAACGTTTTCCTGTTGAAATTTTACTCAACTTTCTTTCAGTGCAGGCAAATCCCACAAACACATATTTTAAAATAAAGTTTAAGACAAAAAATAATCATCATTTATCACTAAAAACTGTTAAAATTTGAAATTTAAAAAAAAAAAAAAATTGCATACCAAAATGGCAAAGAAAACAACATTTAAAACCGAAGAATTATCATCTGCATGGTTACCTACTGTTATGCTTGTGGTTGCCAGAGTTTAGTGTGTTCTGAAACATTTGTGATTCCTATTGAGGTGGTTGTGAAAATAAGTAAGTATCAATTAAATGTTTAAGTCAGGGAGTGGTTCCTATGTCAAATGGCGCAGACAATGGAGGTTCAAATGTTGTGCTGAGATCAGATGGCGCAGGTGAAATTTCAGGTTGAGCTGGACTAACATCTTCAAATCCAGTACCTAAACTAAACGGTGAAGGATCTGTAGACCGCATATCTGAATTTAAAAGGTCTAGATCATCTGTAGGTGAAGCAGTACCAGATCCATGCTTTTCATCAGATGTAAAATCTTCAATCTTTACATCAACATTCCCATCAGAATTTGATGCAGGTGGCCTACCACGTTTTCTGGAAGGAATGTCAGTTCGCATATGTAACATAGTTTGTTTCATTTTTTGAATGATAGAATCAGGAACAGTAAAACCAACTATTTCATCAGTCATAAGAGCAGGATTATTTCGATATTCCTCCGATTCTGCAAGTTCTTTTATGTCTTCAACCAGTAGCATATAAGCTTTCCCTCCAGTAGCTGGCATTAAATTATGATCATACAGCCATTGCTTATCTTCCTGATCACCAGAGTACTTGAAAATCTCAGGGTGTTTAATATATAATCTGCCTCGAGTAGCTCCAAGTCCAAGAGCTTTGTTTGCCTTAGCTCCCATTATGAATCGAGTATCAGAAGTTAATCGAGAAGGATCCCATTTTGGACCTTCTCTCCTTACTTGTTCAATTTTAAATTTCATTGGTGTCGAACGTCCTGAAGAAATGTTAGGTGGCCTACCTTTCCTCCGTTTTGGTTTCACTGGAATAAAACTGGCTTCAGAGTCTGTATCAGAATCCTTACGCTTTTTTAATAAAGTTTTGGAGAAATTATTATTATTTGCTTTTTGCTCACTCGATGAGCCATTCTCTGTTTCCACAAAATCAGCTGGACTACCTCCTCTATTAGCAGTACTTTGGTACATTTTTTTGGCTTCTTCCAGAATTTGCCGACAAACACTATGAATATGTTGATCAGACACAGAGTTCTCCCCATTATTGATTTTTATATTTTCAATACCTGGCTTAAAAAATTTTTCAACGTACTTTTGAATAATATCATCAATTTCTTTATTTATAAATTTCTGCATGTTTTGTCTCAATACATCAAGGGATTTTGCAGTTCCAGTGACAAATCCCAATCTTGCCCTCTGCATAGCTACAGCTTGAGATCTGTAGGCAGTGCGGTAACTTGTAGTGCTAGTTGGAAAATTACTCAAATTATATGACCTCATATTAAACGTATTTTCCCATTTAACGAATCCTAACGGCTGGAATGCGTCCGATATGTCAGAGGAATATTTATCACTCTTAAAATATATATTGACACCTTTATTATTCGTACCAAAGAAACGCAATTGTTGGTTTTCACTCTTGGATGCATAGGAAGTTGTTACCTCAAACTTTGGAGTGTGCCAGGTAAAAATATTAGTTTTGTCACCACTATTTTCTCTATCTGTTGGGGAGTAAACTCTTATTTCAGGCACAGCAGACATTTTGATATTATTACCAATTTATAAAATGACTCCAATTATTTATAAATCGATTGCACTAAACGAGATGTAAAGAGTTAAAACATTCCCAAACAGCATTGTTATTTCCGTATCAACAATTGTACAAAATTACTTTGTTTTCATTTTTCAGTACAATTCATGGTGACAAGTTTAGTTGACCAGCAGTTGCAGCAATCGTCATCTTTCATTTACGTTAACTTGATTATCAACTCGGAGTGGTCTAAATATTTCTACAGCTACATTCCTTCCTTATTAACTACACTTTCATTTTGAATTAATGGAAAAAAATCCGTACTGCTTGCAGTGAATCGCATTACTTGCACTCTCAAAATGAATTATAACTTATTTTTAATGTTGGTATGGCTTAAACACGTAACTGAAACCGTCAGAATTTATTCGCGCGATATGTAAACAAGACAAATGTGCCGCGCGTTAAGTTTTTCAATATTTTTTTATAAGTATTAAAATTCCACTGCTATTTCTGTAATTTTTTTTTAGAAGATCGTGTAAATTTTTGTGCAAAGCTTATAAAGAAAGGCATTCATCATAAACAAATATTTCTTGTGGTTCTTTTACTTTTTCACCCTCTAGCTAGGTTACATTTAATGTATTAATATTAAGTAAGTACTTAATATGGTATATTGTTGTTGTTTTTGTTTATTTATAATCAGTGATAGTTTATTTTTAATTTGAAAAGATGAAACTCAGTGTCGTACATTTTAATCTATATTTAGAACCACATCTTCGTAATTTACGTATTGTCATATATACATAATACACTAAGGTCACCAGATTTTAACATTGGTAAAGCGGGACACCATTTACCGGGGGGGGATACTTGCTTAAAAATTTGGTCTATATAGAGCAACACAAATTTTAATAGAATGCAAAAATAGTATTGTAATATATTTTATTTAATTTGAACAGAAGTACAAATTACAAATATAATACATTAAAATTTACGTATAGTATTATTTTATTCTTTGGCATATTTCTCATTTCGGTGAATTCTTTTAGTAGACTGATGTCGTTTTTTGTTGAATAACTTTTGGAGAACTTGTGATGTACAAGATCTGAAGGAATGATTGTGATTAGCATGAAAAGACATTAAGTCTTCTGCTAATGCTAATTTCTTTTCTTCATCTCCATAAATTGTTTTCTGAAAGAATTCCTGCATTTTGGAGGAAGATGCAGGTACTGTTTAAATATCTTTTTTGTTTCTGTGTCCCCGAGTGCTTTGAAATCTCATTCTTCCAGCCGGATAAAATAGAAAACTCACCGTTACATTTCTCACATTTTGCCATGTAATCGCTTTTGGTTTTTTTTAACAAAAGGAAATTTACTTCTTAGATCATCTTTGAATTTGTATCTTCTGTTCTTACTCATTATGTTAGAAATCTAAATAAGTAATTTATTGTATATTTATAAATTTTTATCTATATGTATTGCTTAAAAACACAGTAAGTAGGTACATAATTCCATGAACATATTTTATTGTTAGTTAAAAAATTAAATTAATTTATTTCTTATAAAGTAACTATATTTTGAAAATTATTTTAATTTAATCCTATATTTCTTCCTTTGAATTTACCTTAACGTAAGTCGTAAGCATCACTTCCGAGGCCAACACTAGACCTTTTCCCGCCACTATAAAATATAAATAAAAAGAGTACTGTCTGCTAAATTCATAAAAATTTGGTTAATCTTTGGATTAGGGTAACTTAGGGATTTTTTGGCGAAAATTTGGCGACCAACCCTGCTACAGCAACCTGCGGTTGATCTTTACAATATGGTAACTGGTAGTTTGGCGACATTTTGGAGGCGATAAACTACTACCTGGGACTTTGGTAATAATGTGAGCAGTACTCAGTTCTGATTACGCATATTTTGTGTGAGGAATGAGAGAGATCAGGGATATGTCATGTATATTAATGGATGAATACGGTTCTTTAATCGGAAAAGGGGGAAATCGGGAAAATCTGAAAGTTCTGTATTTGGCTTTATTCTTGTGTGTGAAACAGTGTTCGTGAATTTTTTGATCCCATGGCCATACTAAAGTGAATTCAAAATGGGTATTTATGTATGTATTAATTTAATGTATGTGCTCATTTATATTTTAAGTAGTGTTTTTGAATTTAATATATTTTTATTAAACGATAGTTTTTTGTGAATTTTATGTTTGTAGGAATTTGGTATAACGTTTTAGTTGAAGTAAACGTGCATGGAAATAATTTAAATATCTGACACTAAGTATTTGTAATGTTTGCGGTATGAATTCGTGTGATGTGTATAATGTAATAGATGATTTAGAGGTAAAAGTTTTTGGATATTTTATTTATTTTATATGGGAAATGTTCATATTTGGAAGGGTAAATACTTTTTCGCGATCAGGTAATTTCTATACGTTCTTTTACCGGGTTTAAAGATTGAAAAATTGTCATATTTTCGTGAAATTTTTCTAATTTATAGAAAAAAGCAGTGTACATGGATATAGTGAAATTGTGCGCAATGCCATTTTTGTGCAATTCTGGGATGTTTTTTTAATTAAAATAAGTCGACGTGTACATGGTTAGTGATATTTTAATTAAATGATAGTTTTTTGTGAATTTTATGTTTGTAGGAATTTGGTACACTTTTAGTTGAGTAAACGTGCATGGAAAAATTTAAATTTTTGATACTAATTATTTAATGCTTGCGGTATGAATCGTTGGTGACGTGTATAATGTAATAGATGATTGATGTTGTTTTGGATATTTTATTTATTTATATGTGGAATGTTCATATTTGGAAGGGTATACTTTTTTCGCGATCAGTAATTTCATATATGTTCTTTTTACCGGGTTAAAGATTGAGAAAATTGTCATGTATTTTCGTGAATTTTTCTAATTTATAGAAAAACAGTGTACATGGATATAGTGAAGAGTGTGGCAATGCCATTTTTGTGTCATTCTGGATGTTTTTTTAACTAAAATAAGTCGGCGTGTACATGGTTTATGTGTATGTGTTTTTTTTAAACGCGTAAGGAGTATGGTATTGTGCACTTTTTCCCAATTTTGCAGTGAATATTTGTCATGATTAAGCAGTTTTTTAGATAAAATTTCTAGCATAAGTGTTAATTCCTCTAGTAGATTGTTGGAAGAAGTGTTCAGTAGATAAAAAGAAAAGAAACATGTCTTTACTTCATGAAGACAAATGGCGGCGGGAAAAAAAATAGAGGGTTGCTGTAGAAGAGTTGGTCGCCAAATTTTCGCCAAAAAACGCCAAGTTACCATAATGTAAGATCACCCACCGGCTAGTTTTTTATTATTATTATTATATTATGATTATTATTGGTTGATCAACCCAACCTTTATTTTTTATTATTATTATTATTTATTGGTTGATCTTTACCTTATGGTAACTTGGCGTTTTTTTTTGCGAAAATTTGGCGACCAACTCTCCTACAGCAATCCTCTATTTTTTTTCCCCGCCGCCATTTGGTCTTTAACGAAAGTAAAGACATGTTTTTTTCTTTTATCTACTGAACACTTCTTCCAACAATTACTAGCCGAATTAACTTATGCTAGAAATTTTATCTAACAAAACTGCTTAATCACTAATTGACAAATATTCACTGCAAATTGGAAAAAGGCCATACCATACTCCTTACACGGTTTTCAAAATACACATACACATAAACCATGTACACGCCGACTTATTTTTACTTAAAGAAACATCCCAGATTGCACAAAAATGGCTTGCTCACACTCTTCACTAATCCATGTACACTGCTTTTTTCTCATAAATTAGAAAAATTTCACGAAAATACATGACATTTTCTCATCTTTAAACCCGTAAAAAAACATATTGAAATTACCTGATCGCGAAAAAGTATTTACCCTTTCCAAATATGAACATTTCCACATATAAAATAAATAAAATATCCAAAAACCTCTAAATCTCTATTACATTTACACGTCACCAACGAATTCATACCGCAAGCATTACAAATACTTAGTATCAAAATTTAAATTATTTCCATGTACGTTTACTTCAACTAAAATGTATACCAAATTCCGGCAAACATAAAATTCACAAAATAACTATCATTTAATTAAAATATAATTAAATTCAAAAACACTACTTAAAATATAAATGAGCACATACTTAATTAATACATACATAATACCCATTTCAATTCACTTTACATAGGGCCATGGGATCCAAAAATTAATCAACACTGTTTCACACAACACACTATGAAGCTAAATACAAAATTCCAATTTCCTTCCTTTTTCCCGATTTCCCCCCTTTTTTCCGATTAAAGAACCGTAATTCGTCCATTAATATCACATGACATATCCCATGATCTCTCATTTCCCTCACACAAAATAATGCGTAATCAGAACTGAGTACTGCTCACATTATTACCAAAGTCCCAGGTAGTAACCTTTATCGCCTCCAAAATGTCACCAAACTACCAGTTACCATATTGTAAAGATCAACCTTATTATTTTTTTACTCAAAATTTTTTTCCAACAATCTGCTAGTCGAATTACGCTTATGCTAGAACTTTTATGGAGCAAAAGTGCTTAATCATGAGGAAGATTAAGTGCGAAATTGGGAGAAAGTGCAGAATCGCTCACTGCTTGCCGCGTTTTTAAGAATTGCACATACACGGTATCATCCATGTACACGTCGACCTATTTTCACTTAAAAAACAGCCCAGAATTGCACAAAAATGGCATTGCACACACTCTTGACTCTATCGATGTACACTGCTAAAGTCCTAGCTATTTACCTTTATCGCCTTACCAAAATGTCGCCAAACTACCTGTTACCATATTCCAAAGATTAGCCGAAAATTTATGTGTTTATGAAATAAATAAATAAATTACGTACTTAAATTATCTGAATAGCTGATTTGTTGATATCACTTGTTTAACTAGCACCAACACTCAGTACAATGTGTATCGTCTGAGAGACAGTTCCAAAATGTTTTCGTCATTGCCAATGCCAAAAAATGCCATCAAATCCAAACAATGGTGCTCGAATTCTTATAACTGATCAATAATGCGAACTTTAATAAGCAGTTCTCGATAATGAGTTGTTAACAATTATTTGTTATTATAAAAATTTAACATTATAAAATTAACAAAAATAATATAAGACTCATATTCTGGCGAAGTAGCCACATGGCAGCCGAAAACTGTATTCTCCCGTCGTTCCCTACCGCGTTATGCATTCTTTCCAAAAATCAAGATTTTTTAAAACGCTGTGGGACAAGTTGTTAAAAATCGGGGACATTTATCTGGTCACCTTAATAAACACACGTGTAATGCCTTTTTTGTTAGAAAACTATTTTAGGGGTTCTCAGTGCGATTCAAGAAAATTATTTGTCACTTCAAACCCTGGGTCAGTAAATGGGAAAAGATTTTGCCAAAAACTTGCATTACCACAGTTTACAATGGTTCTCAGACTGGTTTGAAATTGTGTTCATTAACATCTTCCCAATTCCTCTGTGGGCATTTGGTATCCATTGCCAGATGTCATTCTTTCAAAAACGATATTATTTTGCATGCTGTAAAGGCTTAAAAAGGTGTCTGTATTAATTTTATAAATATTAAATTTGCTATAGTAT